CAGCAGGATGCAGGAAATGCTTCGCCCTGGGAAATTAGCATATGATAGTGATTCACAACAATATTTAAGGCTGTGTCATTTCAAAAACAAATGGTTTCAATGTAAACAAACTTCTCTCCGAACAGCTAAGGGCAGGGAAGCCTGAGAGGGGAGAATGTTGCTGAAAGATCCTTTCACTGGCGGGAAGCAGTTGGAATATAGAAGCATCAGCTTGCTTCTTTTTTTTTTTTTTTAATGTATTCCAAATTGTTTCTTCGGATAAACACTTGCTTTGAGGAAATCAATTGCTTTCAATGATTTTTACCGCTTATGCTTAGCCTCCACCGTGTTACTGATTTTAAAACATTTTTTTTATTAAGTTGGGATTTGGTTTTAATCTCACCTGGAGTTCTGAGTCATCCCCAAAGCTTTAGTAAATAATTCCCATGTGTTCATGCATACAGCTGAAAAAGGGAGGGTCTACGACATGGAGAGTCAGCATTTTGAATCCAGCACAGGCAGAAAGCACATAAAACCGCATGCTAGACAGATCACAGTTAGCCCATTTGCTGATTTACTGCTATTTTATCTTTGTTCCAAATATGCTGGATTTATTTGGACCATGATATAAAATCCCCAATGCTAAAAAACATGGTAAGCAATGAAATAGGAAAATCATTTCAGTAGCCATTCTGCTTTCTAAACGTGGCATGTATTGTAATTAGAATAAAAATTCAGTAACTTTCAATTTATTCATGGGATCATTTTTATTTTCTTAACTTTTATTATTTCAGAGTGCATACATGCAGTGATTCCTTCTAGAGAGGCTCATGGTATGTTAGGTTCCAAAATATACTTTTAAATGTCATATATATTCATATATGTATATACATATGATTTTCTATTGATGTGTTTCTATATATAATTTATGATATCATTTTGCCAAATAATTAAAGCTTTTTTGCTGATTCAAATATACTTAAAAGGAGCTATCCATATTGTAGCTGTCATACCACATAAAATACCCCCAATGAAATCTTAAATGATACCTTCAGCTCTATGGCGTTCACCATTTACACATTCTGCTCTTATTAAATGACTATATGACTCTCTGAAAGAATATGGCTTGGCTTCTATCAGTTATGACAGAGTTTATTACATTTGCTAGCGCAGTGGTGATGCAAAACTTTAATGAGTGTAAAATGTTTACTAAGCACCCTGAATTTTGTGGGGGGAAAAGAAAGAGATTTTTTTTGCTCTTTGTAAGGTTCACAAAGGGTTTCCCAAGTTAGAGTTAAGGGGTACCACACTCTCCACAGCACCCCACAGAAACATCCTGAGAGTTTGCGGTGCAAGAATTCAAGGGTTTGTTTGGTCCTCTTAGCAAACTGAAGTGAACAGTGAACCAACCCCACAGGTGCTTCAGGCGGGAGGAGAGGGCAATGAAGTTCCAGAGTGGAAGCCAGACTATGTGGACAACAAGTCGCGGGTTTATATTGATTGCCAGTCTCCAGAATTGCTCCAAGCCTGTGCAAGTATCAGTGCAGCAAGCAAGTCTGCACAGACATGGTGCTCTCTACTTAAAAGAAAAAAGAAAAAGAAAAAGAAAGACAAAAAACCGAGAAAGAAAGGGAGAAAGGGAAGGAGGGAGGCAGGGAAGAAAGGAGGGAGGGAGGGAGAAAGGAAGAAAAAAGGGAGGGAAAGGGAAGAGAAATAATAATAACTTTCCCTTTAGAGCTATTACACGTTTAGAATCTGATTTGGACAATAAAGTATTTAAGAAAATTGTTGTTAAGTACATCTTATTTTGAAGATGATTTTTTAGAACAAACACACAAAATCTTAGGTTTTCTGCAACCACTTACAGTTAGCAAATCACGCAAAGATACAGAAAAAAAAAATAAGTCAAAGAACCGCTCTGTTCTCCGTTGAAATGGTTGCTTCCCATTAAACCAAATACTACTTTTGAGATTCGCTCTAGAATGTTCAGTCCTGTTGTGGACACCTTTAAAGTTGCCCGTGCAACAAACGTGTTAGACTGTCGCACAGTAGCAGTTTAAACAAATCTGTCCTTTGCCTTTTTTTTTTAAGCATGTAAATTTTAGTGTCGCTCTAGGGGGAAAGCCTGGAAGTGAAAGTTGTCAGCCTGTCCTTTAGCTCTCGGTGAGGCAAGCTGGGGAAGTGCTCCTTGTCGCTGAAATGGGCGCTCTGGGTGGGAAGGAATTCCTCCTTTCCGTCCCCCGCTTCAGGTCTGCAGAACTTTGTCCGAAGTATTCTAGGCGCCCGGAGGTTGTGTCCCAGCTGCGCGCCGGCAGATTACTGTTCCTCAGTAAGGAGAGGGTTCTGGTTTGGTTTGGTTCTGGTTTTCACGTGCACGCCCAGTGGCGCAGTGACAGCCTGCGCAGGTCCAGGGATGCCCGAGGCCGGGTTTGGAAGTTTTCATTGCTGTGTCTGGGCCGTCGGGTTCGAACTTAATTAACTCAGCTGTCCTGACTTTGAAACCTAAAGTCGGTGCCTGTGTTCTGTGTTACTCTAAATACGTACTAGCTTTGGCTTCTGCCAGGGAGACCACCCGAAACCCCAGGCAGGGTTTGGGGATTTGAAGCAGGAGGCCTGACTCTGCCGCGTCTCCTTTAACCCTTTCGAAATACGGATTACCCAGAGTGAACTCTTTCCCTGGAGTCAAGGTCTTCTGTTGTCCCCGCCACAGCCACAATCCCTGTCTCTGTCTGTCCCTGGGGATGCGCCTGCCTGTGGCCCCAGGAGCACTAGATCTGAAGTAGCTTCTTAGAAAACGCATTTGGGGGGAGTCTAGCTTCCACTGGCCACAAACTTTCCAGTAGAGGCGGCACCTCCAAGTCTGGACCCTAGAAAGTGGTGACCCCGGGCAGGCAGGCAAGCGTGGGCTGCTGGGCAGCGAGAGACTGTAACAGCAAGCATCACACAGGCAAGGTGGGGTGTTAGGGAACATTTAGGGAGTCGACTCCTGCAGTGGAACTTCTTTAAAATAATTTTAAAAGAAAAGCACAGGGAATGTTTGTATTCAAAAAGTTCGGGACCCCCGGAAAACCCATGGGAAATATTGAGCTTGCCAGTGCCGGCGCGATCCTGAAGAGGAGCCACTTGGGAAAGTGCAGAAGGCTAGGGAATGCGACGCCACTTGCGCTTTTTTTCGGTGCTCGCTGCACACCTGGAGAACTCAAGGTCCTCTACCAGCGTCAGGCAGAACTCAAGCAAAGTTTCAAAGGGAAGGGACCCTGGGGAAGATTCCCACGCAGGCTGACCCGGCTACCACCTCTGAGCAATGGAGGCGCTCTGGTGTGTTTTGCTGGCCACTTGTTAACGTTTGTCCCCCCAAATCACGCCCCACCCCGCACCTCAGGGTCTCGAAGGTAGGACTGATCCCCCGCGCCACTCTCCCGCCGGGCGGACCCAGTGCCCAGTTCTGCTTCCCAGGCCGCGGAACAAGGGCCGCTGCTGCCCCCTGCCGTCCGCTCTGAGCCCCGCCGTGTCCCCGAAAGGCCTGCCCAGTGTTCCACGCCGCCAGCTTCCACCCGCCTGGAGCAAGAGAAGCGGCCCTAAAGCCCAGACCAGGCCTCTGAGCCACGGCCTCTTCCTGCTCTGCTGATCCCAGGCCGCGTGGATGCGTGAGGAGGGAGGACACACGCAGGGAGCAGCCAGAGACCCGAGCACAGAAAGGAAGTGAAGGGTTCGGTCAGACGTGGAGAGTAACGGGTTCCATGGACTGGGTGGTGAGAAGTCCCGGAGGAAGCCTGGCCCAGGAGAACTAAGGGACCCACGGAAGGCACAGGCCAGCTGCACCGGCTGGGGACATCAGTGGGCCGCTCGCCCGGCAGGACCAAGACCCTTAAAGCTCCGCGAAAATGCCCTCGGCGCCACGGGGACGGACATGGCGGGGGGGGGGGTATGTTCCCCCACAGTGCGCAGGAGCGCAAGAGGAGTGGGCTCTGCGTCTGGAGGAATGCTCCGACTTTCCCCGGGAGCTGGAGGGTGGATGAGGGCTCGGGCGATCGAGGTGCCCCCCACCCGCCCCGATGCTTTCAACTTTCTTTGCAGTCTAGGGTTCTTTGAGGCCTTGGTTAGAAAACTAACTCCTCTTTAGCCGCTGCGCACACTCAGAACTCGGCGCGCCGCGTAATCAAGCCGCAGCCCAGCCTCAGAGAAAAGACACTAAATAAAGCAACTCTACCAAGGAGAGGAAGCTTAAAACCCAAAACTCCTGCGGCGAAGCAGCGACTGATACTATTTAAATGACTCGGTGCCACTTCGCCTGAGCGGCTCAAGGGGGGGGGGGGGGGGGGGGGGGGGGGGGGGGCTCAGATCCTCTCCCACCGGGCCACCAACTCTCCGGCCCTCTTGCGGCCGAATCCCACCCTGTCCTCCCGGGACTGGGAGGCTTGGCCCAAGGACTGCAGTGCACCCCTGGTTGGGGACCGTTCCGGGACGCCCGCCCAGGTCCCCAGAGCCTCGCGATGGCAGCTAGGAGTCCAAGCAAGGCTCGCAGGGCGTCTCCTTCCCGCTGGCCTCCAGGCCTCGGGCTTCTCCGGGCACGGTTTATGGTTCCCGAGTCCGACCCGCCTTTCGATTCCTGTTTCAGGGTCTCCGAGACCTTGGCCGCCGTTTGCGCCACTGCGCCCTGAAAACCCACCCAGAGCGTGGCTGCCCAGTGCGTGGCTGCCGGGAGTGGGGTCTGCACCAGGGCCGGGCGGGCTTCGGAGAAGCGTGGCAGCGTGTGCATGTGCGTGCGTGGGTCTGCGTGGGTGCCGGAACAAGGGGTGGTAGGGGCTGCCACCGAGTCCGGGCCAGGGCTGCGTACAGTAGCGCGCGGGGGCGCGCGGGCCAATTCCAGGAGCGCGGCGGCGGGCCGCGCCCAGCCTGATACCGGAAAGGCCTGTGATTGGACGGCGCTCGCCCCTATGCAAACGAGCTGAGGGAATGGAATTCCTCCGGCCGGCCTTACAGTAAAAGCACGTTCATTTCCAGGCACTCTCATTCATAGAGCCAGCGGGCGCGGGCGGGCAGGACGGGCGCCCCGCGGCCGGACCCAGCCAGGGCACCACGCTGCCCGGCCCTGCGGCTGCCACTTCCATCCTGAGCTCCCGGGGACGAAACGAAGTCCCCCATTGCGGCTCCTCCTCGATCTGCGTTGGACCTCCTTATTTTCCTTTCCTTTTTCTTTTCTCTTTTTTTTTCTTTTGATTTTATTTTTTTCTTTCTCACTTTTGAATGAACTGGCTTCTGGGGTCGGATGTTTCAACTTCTCTCCTGGTTGTGAACTTTTCTCCGATTGTTTCTTTTGACAACCGCGGACGAAAGTGTTCAGGGGTTCCAGGAGAGCCGTGAAGTTGCGTGTGCGTGGCAGGGTGCGTGGGAGTGAGCGCTTGCGCCTGTAACTCGAGCCTCCTGGTCTGCGGCGCTTCCTCCCCGGCCCGCTCCACCTGCTGCGGTTACACGGTGCTCGCTCGCTCGTGGGTATTTGTGCGCCCCAGCCAGCCAGCGCCGGGCGACGTTGGAGGAAGATCATCTTGCTACTGCCAGAGTCTGAGCTGACTCACTCAACCAATGTAGACAGTGGCTGGCTTCCGAAGGGTGCGCGTCTGCCTGTGTGACCCAACCAACTTCGGCTCAACTCCCACCAAACCACAGGATCAGCCACAAACTTAACCAACGTTCCCAAACCCGAGTCCTCTGATGTGGGAAGCTCCAGCTTGAGCGTCATCGAGTTTGTCTTTTTCCCCCTCCCGATTAGATAGATTTTTTTGTAAAACTAAATTTTCTGCACTGACCATTTGTCCAGAATTTATTGAGAGAATAACGACAAGTGATTCCACCCCAGCCTATCAACTACTGAAGCTGATTTTCAAGGCTACTTTAAAAAAAAAGACTTCAGCGAACATTAATGGATTTCTGTTGTGTTTAAATTCTCTACAGATTGAATTGTAAATATTTTATGAAGTAGATCATATGTATATATTTATATATACGAGCACATACATTACTAGCACAATCTTTTAATGTTGCAGCTCCTGCTTTTGAGAACCGAAGTGAGTTTTTTACGATAAGAGGGTCTCCCTGTATAGAAGACACTCTTAAGTTTTGTATTTTGTTGGGACTTTAAACAAAACTGACCTGCGAGAAAGAAAAGCAAATTGACAGGCAATTACCTGCTGGGACTTGCAAATCTGGTTTTTGCTGGTCATTTTGTTGTTATTGTTGTTTTCTGCGCATAAATATTTTAAGACGTGTTCGGGAATTTTGCCTCCGGGACCGTTTGTAATAGCCAAAGACTTAACTTCAACTCTGAAAGCGAGGCTTCTTTGGGCATCCGTCTTTGGATTCTGGTTGTCCACTCCTTAATGCACTAATCGGCCAGTTGTTAGCCCTGATTGGGTGAGGCCGATCCTACTAACTAGAACTCAGTCTGGGACTCTTGGTAATTTAGTCTCCCTCCTCCCCCACCACACTCCGGTAGTAATAAAGGTTCCTGAACTTGTATGTTGATCTCCCGGGAGCTACTTGAAGAAGATCCGATCCCGTGTTGCCGCCTAGTAGGAGCTGTTTTCAGGGTCCTTACTCAATCGGCTTGTTGTGATGCGTATCCCCGTAGATGCCAGCACGAGCCGCCGCTTCACGCCGCCTTCCACCGCGCTGAGCCCCGGCAAGATGAGCGAGGCGCTGCCGCTGGGCGCCCCGGACGGCGGCGCCGCCCTGGCCAGCAAACTGAGGAGCGGCGACCGCAGCATGGTAGAGGTACTAGCTGACCACCCGGGAGAGCTGGTGCGCACCGACAGCCCCAACTTCCTCTGTTCCGTGCTACCCACTCACTGGCGCTGCAACAAGACCCTGCCTATCGCTTTCAAGGTACTCCGGCCAGGAGAGGGTGGTGGGAGGCTGGAAGAAGGCCGGCCAATGCTCGGAGTGAACCTAGAGGGCAGAGGCCAAGCGGCATCTATAGACCTGTGCTGCCTGTGGAAGCCTCTGGTCCTTCTCGCTGAGTTTGGGATGTGGGGGGGGGAATGCTGCGTTGCCTTGGCGACCCTTGGGAGGGACCCACCTTAGCCAGCATCAGAGGCATCCAAGAGGGTTTTGTTATTGGTGGTGGTGTTTGTTTTTTAAAATCAAGATAATCCCAGAAGATCTACCATCTACTTTTGCTATAAACTAAGAAAAGTTAAAACCTTTGAGGGGACAAGTCCGTCTTCATTCTTAGGCTTCCCGGACCTCCGGATGAACGCTCAGACAGTTTTGTGTCTCTCAAATTCTCAAATGAGAGAGAGAGAGAGAGAGAGAGAGAGAGAGAGAGAGAGAGAGAGAGACTTTAATACCTTCCGGTCAATAAAAATAAAGCAACAAGGGAAAGCGCCAGGGGAACCCCCTCCCCAGCGCGCCTTTTTTTTTTAAACTGCCCTATAGGAATCAGAATGTCCAAAGTCCACTGCAGGCGTAGTTGTTTGCCAAAGTTCCAAGTTTTTTGAGCCTGTAGCCTGCTCCTGCCAGAAGCCTCAAGTAGCAAATCCTGTTGCTTTCTCTGGAACCCTCCAGAAAATTAAGCCCGGAGCAAGAAAGGTGCTGGGGTGTCTTCCTGATACCTGGAATGGTCCAGTTCGGCGGCTTTTCTGTTAGAGGAGGGGGCAGTGTAGACCTGGCAACTTCAGATGGGCAGCTCACTTCGGTTCGGGTCACTTTTCACTCTGATCTTGCCCTAGCTTTGAGTTGCTTCTAAACCTTGGCCTTCAGAAGCTACGTATAAACAACCCCGGGCGTTTTTAAAACAACTACCCTACTTTTCTGGCAGGGCGCTTGAGGAATTTAAATTCTCTTCTTTGGTCTTCTTCAGTGGTGGATTTTAAAGGGTAAAGCTGAAAATCACACCCGCTGTGTCAGGCCCTGTTCTTTTAAAAGGCTGATAAAGGAGGGATAGCCAAGCTGTAGAGCGAGCTGCCGGGTGGGGTGGGGGGGGGGGTAGATGAAGAGCTGACCTGACCCCTTTAGGAGGGAAATTAATTTAATCTTTTCGTAGTTCCAGGCCTCAGCTGGGCCTTGATTTAATTATAAGGAATAATGCTAACTTTCTTGAAAAGTGCCGTCCAAATTCTTTTTTATGCTAAAATCACCATCGGCATTTTCAAAATCACAGAAGCCGATTTCGCAATCTCCTCTGTCTATAGAATTGCCGCTTTCACCAGGTTTTGAAAGCAACTTTTTAAAGGGTGGGGGCAGGACTGAGGGTCAGAGGGCAGACAGGCACTTGGCTTTCCTGCCTTTCAGTTCTTTGGAAAGCCATCCCTATTCTTTCAGAAAAACGTTGTTAGGTGGTGGTGTCTTCTGCTCACCGTGAGACCGAACCTGAGTGGGCTCAGCCCTGGGGTCACTGTCATCAGAGAGAAATCAAGCTTTTTTAGTCAACAAAGGGACCATTTAAGGTAGGTTTCCCCGCTCAGCAGAGTTAAAGGGACTTCCTTGGGGGTGGACTCAGAGTTTTTCTCGAGGTGCTTTTTTTTCTTTTACTATGAGGAACGCCAGTTTATCAAGACACTAAATGATTGATTTTTTAAAAATTGTCTTCAGAGTTGAAGCAATGAAAACTCCTAAGCTTGCTACCACATGGAAATGTTTATTTTCTTTCAAAAGAATGAAAGACCATGCATACTGCTTTTAGAAACCGCGGAAAATTCCTTTTAGCAAAAATAATCACAGCCATAGAGGCTCCGTTTTATAAATGATTTTGGAAAACCCACTTCTAAAAGAATCTCGGTTTGTGTTCCTGAGTGACAGCCGGTAGCCATGACAAAGGTCAAGGTGGATACAGCACAGCTCGTATGGAAGTGAAGTGGGTTTCTTGAGAGCGCTTGGGGGGACGGACAGGCAGCAGAAAAATCAGACCACTCAGTTAATATCTGTCAGCACTCGGTCCCACAGAGAAGGCCCCTCTGGAGCTCAGCGCCTGCTGGACTGAACCGGTACAGAGGGGTTTCAGAGGCAGAGGAGATGTACAGGTTGGATTTAAGGGAAAGCTGGACTTCAAAACAGAGCAGCATCCTAGCATATTTTCTCGGCCTCCCTGGCCCCTGTCTGTACCAGCCTCTACCAAACGCCCTGAAACAGTTCTCACCCAAACGTTTCTCTACGTTTGGGATTTCAGTTACATCTCAGGAGTCTCTTTAGCGGTTAATCCTGTAGGAATTATCTGATTCCCCATGATAAAAAACAGATTATGTGAAGCTGTGACGGAGTCCATCCCCAGAGAATAACATCTTCGGGAAGCTTCTGGAATTTTGTTAAGCCCTCCGCTTTAATCTTTAAGAATTATCAAGAGATTTAAATTCATGAATTCTCTTGAAAATAGATTTAAATTGTCCTAACTGGTTTTCCCACCTATCCTCCACCCCTCTTTGCTCCTAGAGGAGAATCCCTTCACAGACTAGAAAGTCTGCTACATGCTATGCTGTATTGGCAGGAGCAGGAGCAACAAAGTTGTTTAGGTGACTTGCAGCTGCTTTTGCAATACTGTATCAGAGTGGTATGTTTTAGGCCCTGGTACACAGGGGATACGCATGCCTTCAACAGGGAGTTCCAAGACCCTGGCTACCGCAGGATGAAATATGTTTTTTTTTTATTTTTTTAAAAAAAGGAAGAAATAATTTTCTGGTAGGAAGATCATGGTCTCTAGCTACGCATTAAATGCCGTCTCAGGTGAATGTTCTACTCGGCAGCCCACTCTGACACTCTGGAAGATTAAGGAATTTGCAGCAAAAGAATTGTAGCTGTAATTTAACCCTATGAAGTTGTTGGAAAATGCCAACATGAACATCATGAACAGGCTAGCCCAGAACAGGGCTGGGAGGCCCTTAGAGCATAGAGGAGAGCTGATATTTTGCCCAACTTCCTGATACTTGGAGAACAGAGAAGTTCAACAAAGTATGAGCTATCTTTGGCCAGCAAGTCCCTTCTTGTCTGTTTGGTCTGTGCTAAATGTAAATGTTTGTCTTCCCTTACCTATTGTTTATAACTTTTTATTGCAGACGCTGCTTTTTATTTCTGTTTGGAGTTAGATTTTTTTTTCTCATTCTTTTTATATCACCTCTCATGGACAAAATCTGTAGGTATCAAATTGGAAGACATCTTAGTTTTAAATCTAAAAAGAAAAAAATGTTAGCCTCATCTAAGTCTGCTTGTCATTGGATGAAATAGAATGTTAAATGTTCCTGGATTCAGTTTGTCTCCTTCCCTTCCCCACCAAAACTCCTGGGAGATAAATCAAAAGGAATAGTAATAATAACTGAGTCCCTGGATGCCCCCTTCCCACTTCCTTTAAAAATGGGAGTGATGAAATATAAACTCCTGATTTTTAGACTTTTGAATTCCAACATCAGCAGCCTTTTCTTAGGCAGGCACCATGGCCCTTTTGTGCTGTCTGCTTCTCTCCGTGAGGGCCTCCTGGGTTGACCCCCCCCCCAATGTGATAGCACTAGAGCAATGATGGTAAACTGAGGCACACGGAGACACAGCAGGAGGAGGGCCATGACTCAGTATGCCTTTGGGCACTTATAAAACAGGATGTATTTATTATAATTTCTGAAGAGATATGGGCCCCAACAGTAAGGCATTTTGTTTGGAAGCCCAGTTGTCTACCCAGTACCCTGATGCCCAGCGGGTGTAGAATTGAGCTAAAAAAAAGCCTACATCTGCACAGTCAGATGAGGCCAAGGAAGTGAAGTGTCTTCGTGGAGGACATTTCAACACTGTGAGCTAATTGTGCAGGGAGAAGTGAAAATAGAAAAGAAAAAAAGAAAAAGAAAAAGAAATGGGGGAAATAAAGAGAATCAAAGCAGCAGACTTGATAGGAGTGGACTTTTGTAGGAGCAGAAAGGAAGGCTAATAACGATCAATTAACTGATCAGGGAGATTTCTTGCAATAATGTTCTGTGAAACAAAAGAGTTGTCATATTACCAATCTTAATTAAAGGTCATCAAACACTTGCGGTGGGCTATAAACATCTAATTACAGACGGCTTAGAGGATAGGTGTTGTAAAGTCTGCTTGGAGAAAGCATGTCCAACAATTGGAATGTAAGGGTTAAAAACAGAGGCAAGCGCTTCCCTCCAGGTCTCACAAAGCAAGCTGGTTAAGACAGATAAAATTAAAGAGCTCGCAAGATGCTTACCCAATACCCAGAGCAGAGTGTCCGGTGATGTCCTAGGTTCTGTCCGTCCAGTTCTCCAGGCAGCTTGTGTCATTCCCTGGCATGTTCGTTAGAGCCCAGGAGATAGAGCAGCCATAATGAGTGAAAATCACCCGGGTAGTCATCCGCAGGAGCGAGGACAGCTAAGGGGGCATGACTAAGCACACAGTGAGGATGGCTAGCAAAGGGACTGGACATTGATCCCAGATTAGCGAATCTGTGGCATCCTTATTTACATACAGACAGACAGAAATATTCCTCTAATAAATTATGCAGCAACTAGTATGCAGAAAATACTGAAAAAGAAAGTAACAGCATATTGAGAAATGATGCTGCCAGCTTGAGGAACCTACCTAAGGATGACCATGAACCAGAATACATAACGTTTGCACTACGGACGGACAGCACAGATCAGAAGTGATTAGGGGGGAACTGAACTCGAGGTATTTTGATTTGAATTCCATGGACCACTTTGAAATTGGAACAGACAAATGTGAGTTGTAATCAAGTCAAAACTCAAAGTCACTGCTGAAGCCAAAGGAGGCCAGGCTTGGTGGTATACACCTGTAAGCCCTGGCCTCACAGGCAAAGACAAGATTGTGAGTTCAAGGCCGTTCTAGGCCATCTAGTGAGACCCTCGCTCTAAAACAAAATAAACAGAATCAAATAGCAGCCACACGATGGATGATATTTCGTGAAGTATTTTTAAGACAAATACTTCAGAGCATTTTTATTTAAAATTGGTGCCTTTTTTGGTTTTATGGTTATGAAATGTGTTTAACTACCAGTTGTCTTCAAAATATAATAAACCCTTCCCTACTCGGCGACAGTAACGGGATCCCTCGGAATATGGATAGTACATGTTTGAGGCTCACAGGTGTGAAATGCAGCCTGCTCTCACATTTGGTTCAGGAGGATGATTAAACTGGAACCTGCTTTGTTCCGAAGTCGTCCCCTTTGTGATCAGTAATAAATAAATGGCCCATTCTGGATTGTCTCCTAGTCCACTGCTAGTGAGAATCCAATAGAGGCAGAAAGAGATGCCAGACATCAGCTGCAAGCGGCTGGTTAAGTCCTTCTGGAGTCCCTGGAAGCTGCCCGTGTGTGTATGGGGGGGGGCACATCCTGTAACCCAGGCGCTCGCAGGGCAGAGACAGGAGGATCAGGGTTCGAGGCCATCCCTTAGACAAAGAGCTTGAGGTCACCCTGGGCTACATGAGCCCCTGTCTTGGGAAAAAAATAGAATAAAATCAGTAGCAAAAGTCAACTTTAAGTTTAACAGAACTAAGTGTAAATTGCTAAGTCCAGGTCCTATTAGACACACCAGTGAAGGTCCAAGCAAGTAAATGATGGGGTTGGAGAGACGGCTCAGTAGGTAAGAAAACAGGAGACTGTTGCAGGGGATCGGCTCACCCCAGCACCTCTGTCAGGTGACTCACGTCTGCCTACGATTCCACTCCAGGGGGTGCTGACATCTCTGCCCTCCAGTGGCCCTACTTGTATACACACACACATACAATTAATTCAAAATAATAAAATCAACCTTTCTTAAAGGAGGGTTAGATTATAAACTACAAACTTACAAACATGAGGTCTTAAGAGATGACTACATTGACAAGAAGCCGCATCTTCTCAGAGTCCCTGTCCCCTTTTGTCTTGTCCCCGATATTTTGTGTGACCTCAGTGGCTTTGCTCGTTTCAATTCATCGCTGTCTTCCTCACCTCCGTCTACCCATTGTGGAATTAACAGATAGCCTCTCCTTTATCGCTCAAGTTATGACTTTTCTGGAAACCAGAAAGTGTTATGAAGCATAGGTTTAATTTTTAACCAATGGTCACGCCAATGACATGGACGGGTACCTGCGGCAGCTCTGATGTCTGCGTTTGTCCCTTGACTCATGTCTAGGTGGTAGCGCTGGGGGACGTTCCAGATGGCACTCTGGTCACCGTCATGGCAGGCAACGATGAAAACTACTCGGCGGAGCTGAGAAACGCTACGGCAGCCATGAAGAACCAAGTGGCAAGATTCAACGACCTCCGGTTTGTTGGTCGGAGTGGTAGAGGTACGTATCACGAATGAGCTCAAAACATATGTGCCTGGGAGTGAACCCAGGCTTAACTAGTAGCAGTTTCTTAGTATTGATGCCACATCAAACTTTAATATATTTATTTGAAATTTAATACTTCTGCAAGAATCTAATTTTATATTATCATGTTTGATAACTAAATTGGCTTGAGGCTGACTTGGAATACACAATACATGAATGAATTACTTTTTTTTTTTTTTTGGTTTCTCAAGACAGCCTTTTTCTATGCAGCCTTGGCTCTCTTGAAACTAGCTCTATAGACCAGGTTGGCCTTGAACTCACAGAGATCCACCTGCCTCTGCCTCCTGAGTTCTGGGATTAAAGGCATGCACCACTAGTGCCCGGCATGAATTATGAAAACACTTCAATTTTTCTAAAACGAGAAAAGTGAACCTCACCATAATGAGAACTAAGACTGTGTAATGAGAGTTCACTGCCGGGCAATGTGAGCATCGTGAGCCTTCAGCGTATGGTGTTTGTGGCTTCTGCTACAAGCGACAGGGTTTCAACTGGTCACATCGGTGGTTTGGGGAATCCTAACACTAGATGATATGGTTTTAAGCAAGCTTACATTTCTAGGACACACATGGAATCATATTAATACAACCGAGAACAACATGGCCTTCGTGATGTGTTTATTCTTTTTTGCAGCCTATTACTTTGGTGGGAGAAAAGGGGCTCACTTAACTTTCAGATGTTAATTTTGTTAGAGACCTGATTATTAAAGGAGCCGTTACCTTGGCTCAGGTGGACAGGCAGTTTTATTGGCCTTCACCCTTAACCATCAATCAAGCACTGGAGCAGAAAGAGGGAACTTGTTTCACTGTAGACGTCTCTACTTTCCAGTTACCTCTCAAGTATTACATTTTCTCTTTGTTTCCAAGACTTAAATCATATTTTACAAACATCAACAAGTAGTGAAAATCTAAGAGCACCTTTGCAATGTAGTGCTCAATAAGCCTGGCCATCAGCGGTATTTCTAGCTTAAAGAACAGGATACATGTCTCAGCAGCAGTAATAGTTCCTGCATTGGAAAAGAAGTAGGAAGGGGTTAGTGATGTCTGCAGCTCAGTGGAGAGCCCTTGCCTCGCATATGCAAGGCCCTCTGTCTGGTCCCCAGTACCAAGCAAACAAAGCAAAACAACCAGACTGGCGAATGTAGAAAAACACAGGCCAAGGAGTCATCATCACTCCTGTCTACAAAAGCGGTCAGAAAACCTAGAGAACCTGTTCTTAATGGAAGACGGAGAGTAAGTGTATGCACATCTGGGCTGTTGTGCTGCTAGCCTAGATGTCCGGGCCATTTTCATAATGAAATCACAGCTTGGGGGGGGGGAACCCTATAATGTGATTGAAAAATGTTCACACTACTATGCTAATAATAGAGTGATTCAGAGAGCCGTCTGTCCTCTTACTGAAAGCCGGAGATGCTGTGTGCGTGTGTCTTTAAGTGAGTTCACTTGTTATAGCGAAAGTCTGTCTTTGAGCAAATGGAACTCGCATTATGGTTCAGGGGCCTGTGCTTAGCAAACATCACGAAGAGCGTGGGAAGCAAAGAAGAAGCAATGACCTCACAGCCAGGCCCCCACCTGCCTAGCAGTGATCTTCACCTGGCTTAGGAGGTGCCCCTTTTAGAAATGGCTAGCTGGGTATTGCTTGGTTGCCAGAGAAAGTGTGGTTCTACTCATAGGCGCCAAGGTGGGTCTTTTTGTCCTGCTTGGCTATGGGGGTTTTAAAGACTGTTTCCTGGCCCGTCCCTGTGACATTTCCACTAGGGAGCCGCGCGGCGACTCTCTGACACCCGTCAGAATAGGTTGATGATGGCAAAGAGTAGGTTTTGAAAGCAGCATGCTTCCTTTTGTGGTGCCGAGGGCTGGCCCCCATCTCTCTTTGGTCATTTCTGTTTTGAGTGGGTGACTAATAGGCGCTGGTGTTTACCTGAGGAACGGCGGACTGTTTCCCCAAGGTGTGGGCTGTTTACATTCTGCTACCTGATTCATGCCAGTGTGCACTCGAGTTTGCATAAACCCCCCAAAAGAAAACAGCAGCACCCAAGGCCAGGCTGTCTTCTCATACCCTGGAATGAAAAAAAATTAATCAGATGCAAAATTTAAAAAAAAAAAAGAGGATTATAATTGATTTGAACAGGCTCTCCTCGCCATGTCTGAGAGTAAGTCATTAAAGCTCAGGAACACTAATTGACCACTTGACCCAGTTACCGTTACTGTATATAACACTGGTCTTGAGTTTTATGATCTACATTTTTTTATGTCAATAATGTAAGACAAGTGAGCTCTTGGGAGGCTGAACATGGTGTTGCCTCGTAATTTCACTTTGTAGTCACAAAATTTAATTTAATTTTCTTTTTTTGTGTCATCATCGAAGCCTGGTAGACAACCCCCACCTCGTTCTCTCTCTCTCTCCTAATTCTAACAATTAGTTCTAATCCTCCTGGCTGAGCCTTGCCTTTTAAAGTTTCATTATGTTTTATTAAGGGATATTAAGACTCGTCTATTTCGTTTTCTCTTTTCTAAAATGTGTGTAAAAATATGCCCTTGGCATTCACAGACTGACCCAGAGGTCTGGCTTTCCATCCGTGCACACATCTTACGGGCAGTTTTGAGTTGTCAATGCCGGGTTCTCCAAGGAGCCTGGATGCTCCGTGTGGAAAGAAAGGTAGAGAATCTATGTAAGGGTGCCCCCTTTATTTCACCAGATGCCAGATGTTGGGGGTTGGTGACCCTCACCGAGACTGGCAGAGCTACCCAAGGAAGGGATTTCCTCTGTTCCAAGAAATGGATCTGTCTGGCCACCAGCCAGCACCACAGCTCCTAACCTCAGGTTCAGCCGGTGACTGGGAGAACCTGCCTGTCTGGCTCCTAAGACAAGGCTGATCACAGGCCCCTGTGAGCACTGTTGAAGGCCAAGGCGGCTCTAGATTCTTTCTCTCCCTCTTTCTTCCCCCCCCCCCCCCCCCCCCCCCCCCCCCCCCCCCCCCCCCCCCCCCCCCCCGCCCCCCCCCCCCCGGCTTCCCCTTGCTGTCCAGGTAGCTGAGATCTAGTGTCTCACCCCAGGAACGTTTCTCTCTTTGGTTTCCGATCTGCCTGTTGACTTACAATGATTTTCACAGAGAGAGAGTTGCTCTCAGTTGGGGGTGGGCATGAGAAAGGGGAGTCCTCGGAGACCCACTGAAGTCCAGAGAGTAGGAAGGCACACAAGTGGTTGTCAGAATTATTGTTTTAATCACAGGGCCTGAGACTATCCGTCACCTCCAAGTTCAGGGTCAACAGGAACTCTCCTCCGTGAGGTTGAATACCTGAACGCTTGTCCTTGTCTACAACTGCCACCAATAGGTTCCCACGGCGAGAACGCTCCCCACAGTGTGAGGCGCAAGACCCTTAAGGAACTTTAGCAGTAATGTCTGCAAATGCCTCTTCCCTCCTAGAGTATTATATTAGTTGCCAATGAATTGATCCATCAGGGAATATAGCTTCAATGATTTCACTGGGAACCAAAGCACACAACTACCAAATGTATCAACGACTGTGTTGTGAGGAGGGAAACCATGGCCAATTAACATTTGTCCTAAGAATGTGATTTTTAATCTTTGGGAGATGTCAGAGATAATTCTGAAAATCCTCCGAAAGACTTTTCCCAAGAATGAAAAAAGCCCCTGCGTGCACGGATTTCTGTGTGCTGAAATTTCCGGAGTTTGTTTGTAGATCTTCTGGGATGCGGAGATGCCGAAATGTGCACGTTGGGGATGTGGAACACTAGATTAGCACCAAGCTTTATGCTCAAGAGATACCCAGAAAATAAATAGACAAGGGAGCCACAAGGTTGACACTTTCCTGTGCCCTTCTGTTATATTGGTGACAGCGGTAGGACCTGGTTGGTAGGGGTTAGGAACGTTCAGAATTTAAGAGGCTAATCCAGGCCTTCGGTGAATCCCTAGGCTTGTAAGTGAATATAATCACTTCCACAGGATTGCAGGCCCTCTGTCCTTGACAGTAAGGTCTCTTCCCCAGTGACCATCGCCTCACTGTTGTGGCACTCACCGTGAAACCGAGTGTTCTGTGCTCTGTCAGGAAAGGGTTTCACTTCTCGGTGGGATCTGCTGTTTACCCTGACCTCCCAGCAGCTCGGAACTTGCTCCGTTTTGAAAATAGTCCTTTGCTGAAGTGAAATTCCTTCCTCGATTCTTGCTGTGGACGTCTTCCCAGACATAATATTTATCCTGTCACAATCTAGGCTCTTTCGTATTTGTGTAATGTTGGTTTCTTAAGGCAGTCTCGTTCCCCTTCTGCAGGATTCTGGGTACGATATGGGGATGTTGTCTCTCAGCCCAGGGGAAGGCTGTGGTGGAGATACATTTGGGGAAGGATAAACCATACTTATCCTCCGAACAGGGAGGGGCGTCTGTGTAGTGGCTTTTACCGGAGAGAGAGCGGGGCCTGAGTGACTCAATGTTATCATAGATCCACATCGTTCTTTATTTGATCACCAATTCATTTACTAGAAGAAGGAAAAATCCAACTGCCAGCCCCAGAGACGTTTCATGGAGAACATTCTAGGTAAGCAATAGAAACTGGCAGCTGGGTCTCCTAGAGAAAGTAAGTAAAAGGGAATATATGAGTTGCGTTCAAAGCAAATGTCCATTTTCTCCCTCTTTATTTCTGGCTCTCCATTTAGAATTTGTAATAGTGCATGTAGTAAGGTCCGTTTCCCTCAGATTTAGCTGTGAACAAATGGGATAAAGCAGACCAAAATAAAAATAAAAACAGATAAAACTAAACAAACCCGGGGCCTCTCAGAGAACAAGCCCCAGCTGGCCCCATCAAATACTTCCTTTCCACGGCAGGTCACAAGTTCCACCCGGAACTGAGGCAGACTCTGCCTATCCGACCAGGATTTTATATTTGACAGTAAAAGAGTTAGCAACACTTTCCTCAAGCGAGCTTGAAAGCCTGGGTTGG